TAGTGGCATTTAAAAGCAACTTGCAAATAGATTCTTTAAATTACTACATTGTTCTGTCACCTTAATTGTCGGAGGGAAAACCGAGTTTCTAGGGCATTAATCAATGTAATTGTTCTAAGTCTGACACGTGCAATCTGCTAAAAGCTCCGAAGTCCAAAGGCCCAGGTATACGGAGGGATTACGATGGGGGAGGACAGGTGAAGTCAACGCATTCTTCCAGAGACCCACACACATAAACACACACACATGTGTCACCATGCACTGCTAAATATTGGATAGATCAGTTTCTAATAAACAGTATATATCGATTTAACAAGAAAGGTGTCCTCGGAGTGCCGTTCTGCGTGGGTCATTTCTACCACAGCTTCTGCCGTATTGATTGACTGAATGAACACAAGCCTCCGTTGGCCAGCCTCAGACTTCACGACTTGCACGTCGCACACTATGGATATGCATTCTTATCCAGAGGTCTGCACTTGCTCCTTGCAGGTGAGTGCCTCAGTTAGCTCACGAGCAGCACTTGTGTTGTGTTTCCTTCGGGCTATTAAGAAGATGAAGGAGTTCACTCAGCTGTTTATGTTTATGTGCTGGTTGTTTCTTTAGGTGTTAGTTGTCTGTGGCAGTCGGGAAACGGATCTACACAATTCACTCACAAGCGGTGAGATCACTTACGGGCCGCTACTGCCAGAGGCCATAAGTAATCGCATCTTCCGCACCTATATTTGACATTTCCATTTAGTTACATGTGGAAAGCATACACACACAAACAACTGTACCAATTATTAGAAACACCCAGGATGTTACAATACCAACCCAGTGATGTTCAGGTCGTTATTAATCAGCTCCCTTTATGTCTGGGGTTGAAGTCGTGGGTGTGTAGCGTGAAAATGAAGCGGGCTGAGCACACAACCCTGAACAGTCCTGGTGTTTAGCTCCAGAGTGGAGGGGGTGTGCCTGCCGATGTGAACTGCCCGGAGGTCAGTTTGTGTGGAAGTTTAATAACTAGTTGCAGAGTTAGGTACTCAAACTTGTGAGTGCTTAGGCCACCAATCAGTTCAATTCATGAGGGAGATTGTGTTGGGAGCTGAGCTGAAATAAACAAACAGCATTCGGATGTAGGTGTTGTTGTCAGGATGTTTGAGGGCTTGTTGGCGGGCAATGGATTCAGCTTCCACTCAGTTGGCTCTGCATGAATGCTGGTGTGGGCCTTGGTTTCCTAGGGTGTTGTTTTTGATATTTGAGTTATCTCAAAGCACCGCCAATGCAAGCTACAAAGAATACTTGGGTATGCTGACCCTACACTTGGGTCCAGTGTAGGGTGAAACTTGGGTTAACCTTTGTGTCCGGCCCCTGTCTTGCACTTGAGATGTACAGTGGCTGGAGTGGAAGTCTCTTTCGATCACCAGTCGAAGTGTTTTTGACGGAGCGCCTTACTGGTCATGGAAGGCAAAGGAGGTAATATAAGGCAAGGACGTTGGCAGGAGAGGTAACTGAACTCTCCGAGAAATGGAATGTCTTTAATTCAAATCATTCTTTACATTGTCAATCCAAAAAGCCCTTCTGTGGCGATGGAGACCACTAGGAGAGGGCGCACGCCAGGAAATGTGTTTCTGTGCGACCGTGTGTCCTGAGTTGTCTCATGGGCTTCTTCTTAGTGGTAACGAGGGGGGGGGGGGGGGGTACATCAGCAAGAAGTCCCAGCACAGTGATGTCGGGGGTGGACTGATGAACTTTGGCACCGGTGAGCTGTTGTACTCAGCATCATCTACAAAAGGAGCCGGCTGGGACGACCAGAGGCGGCGGTGGAGGTTGTTGCTCATTCACGGCGGAAAGGATCCCACCGCTGCTGGCGCCTGACAAAGCCCGTCTTCTCTCTTCCCCTGACACAGCAGCTCACTCTTAGGAGGAAGTACTTTGATGTGCAAAACGCCATTCCCAAAAATACAAAACTGATTGGCCTGCGTTTACGCTCATTTTCAGCGGGCGAATGCATGGTTGTGATGTGTGGCACTTTTCTGGCTTGAGAAAATACTTAATTAAATTTGGATGACCCTAAACTTTAAATACACCCAAAGACAATGTCAGAGGACACCACTCTGAAACACTGGACATCCCCCCAGGCCAAACTCTAATGATGGATATTATTCATTCCTCAACATGTGTTGTCTTTTTGGCCGGCGGAAAGCCTGCTGATTGGATGCTTAATTTTGCATTATTCACTGCTACCAAATCGGTTCAGCGTGTTCTCCCCTGGTCTGCAAGAAATAATTAGTCTACTGGATAGGTCAACTTAATCATTCCTGAAAATAATATTCAATTATCTCGACAGCAACTTCTAGAGCAAGTCTCCTATTTTTAGACCCACTCTGTTTCACAGAGATAAGAAGTTTGATCATTTTTGTGTCAAGCCTGCAACAGAAAGCACCTGGGAGTCAGCAGAGCTAAACAGACCTCGGTGGTTATATTATCCTTTATAATAGCTCTGGCTTTCTCATTGTCTCTCCCTCTGTGTGGTCCACCGCATAAGAGTTCCATCCTACTCAATTATGGCTCTCCTTTCAAACAGCTCTCCTCTCCAGCTTTCTATGGCCTGCCCTTGATTTATACCTTCAGTCGGTCTTAGCGACGGTCACAACAATGTAATATCTTAGTTAAGGCGAGTTCAACGTTCCGAGGTGATCCAGGCCGGGCCACAATTAACTCACCTTTGATTGCCTCCCAAAGCAGGCCAATTAGAATTTCTGTCCAACTTGATCGCGACTTCCCTGTCGTCACGCGCAAAGGCAAATATGCAATATGGCACATGAATATGTCTGATGACATGACTTGATCACAGCGTTTTGTCATCCATCCCTGCTGCCGCCGGATCTCCTCCACTTTCTGAAGTTCATCTCGACCGGGACTAGTGTCGTCGTACCAATGACAGCTGTGGGTGTGTGTTGGAGGGAAGGAAGAGAAAGCAAATAGTCCAGAGCTTGTAAGCTGTTACCATCCAGCATGACCTCATCCAGGTAGACGTGTCACCACAGCCGTTTGCTGTTGAATGAGGTCGTCGCCCCGAGGTTCTCCGTGTTCCATAAGGGCTCCTCTTAAGTGAGGCGACTACCAAAAAAGGATGGTGGCTCACGTCGAACGAGTGTATACTCAATGTACTCATCAATGCAGAGCACACAGCTGGTAAATGGAGGAGCAGGGCGGTAAAAGTGGCACGGAAAGACAATTGGAAACGATGGCATGCACAGACATGCAAACAGAAAATGCATTTGCAGCTTCACGAGGCAAATCTGTCTCAAACACAACCTGCAAACTCCATTTCACGCATAACCTCTCTCACTCTCACTGTCTCCGCCAGCGTCTCGCTTTCTCTGTCCCCGTTTCCTTCACTTCACTCCTCCTACCTCACTTGCTCTCCGTCTCTCACCAGCCACAATACATATTTGGAGAATGATATTATTCTGTGGTCCAGAAAACAGCATAATTGTCAAAGGAGGAGAGAAGCTTTGGGAGTCATCACTGCAGGCAAATTAATAATTGTTAAAGTTGAATTTAAATAAAGCAATTCTGTTCTGTTTCCAGAGACTGTCACATCTTAGAACAAGGCTTTGCTTTAAAAGCTTGCTTACATACTTGCTTGTCACCACATGCCTTAATCTCTGTGTTTACTATGATTGTACTATTAGGCATACTTAAAGCGTTTTACAATTTACAAGTGTTAATCCAATCTCTATGCACTAATGATGCCACGATAGACTGTCTCCACATTGATCATCAATGTGATTCATCCACAGAAGTAATGAATGTGAGACTCTGTTTGAGTCAGAAAGGTGATATAATATCATGCTGTAAGTAATAGTCTGTGACATTTTACAAAAAAAGAAAATCCGTTATGTCACTTTTTCATTTGTGGGTGGCAAATTAAAGGAAAAGGAAAACAGCATGTTTCCAAAGCAGCGTCAAAGCTCCTTAATTTATCATTCTCAAAGAGTGTTTACACCATTCTTACTAAAGATATCCCCTCTTTTGATGGTTGTGGTGGTAAATAAATGGGTCTCGTGGGGTCCAACTGGTTCGACACTGGCCACTGTATCGTCTTCATTAAACCTTTCAACTGCATGGACGCATTTAAACTTATTCTCTGTTGATCCTTTTTTTTTAAACATCAAATGCAGCAATAAATGAAACAATGTGTTGAAGGTTTCTTGAGCTCACTGGAAGTGACATGTTTACAGCTACCAGAAGCATCAACAACGTGGCTTTGTTAGAATATATCAAAGAGCAAATAAGCCGTTAGGATACGCATTGAATGTCACTGCAGCTCCACGAAGATAAGAAAGAATCTGAAACTTTAAAAAGTGGATGCCACTGCTAGAAATGACAGGTGATTTCAGAAAAATATATATACAACAGCTAAAAGACTCTTTCAACATTGAATATAAGACAGCCGCTCAGTAAGCGGGTGGGAAGCTGACTTTAATTGTTGCTGCTTCTCAACATCAACTATGAAGCTGACGCACCCAAAGCATCCTCTCACCAATTAAACACTGTCGGCACCATTCAGTCAATGGACTTGGGTCATCAAGTCCTTGTGTCGTTTATGAAAGGCTGCTCTCTTGTGGCCACTGGGGGCAAATTATATGGGCAAAGGATGCGGGAGGGATGGACTGACAGGAAGTCATAAAACCCTGCTGGACTTTTATAGACTCAAGAAAGCTGCCTGCTGCTGAGTGTTCACATTAAGGCGGGTGGGGGGGGGGGCATCAATGCATTCACCTTATTAGACTTGAGGATAAACAGATGGATGATGGTTATTAATCGATTCTCATGAAGAACAAAAAAAAAAACACCTCTCAGCTCGTCTGCAGTGAGAGCACAGCCGCTAAAATCCGGAGCTTCCGGGTTTTCTCTTTCTCCTCTTCCCAATGTATGTCCTCCTCGCTTGCCACTAGTTTACCCTCACTTGCTCAGCCCTCACTCTCGAGAGGAGGAGGAGGAGGAGGAGGAGGATGCGCTGTGATTGGCCGGGCGGGGACTGGTAGTCCGGAGGCTGGCGTTGTGCTGCGCGTTGATCCCCGTGTTCTTGTTTACACCTTGCTCGCGGGGACGAGGCAAGACACCCAGGGACCCCCCGAGGCAAGACACCCAGGGACCCCCCGAGGCAAGACACCCAGGGACCCCCGAGAGCAGAGCCGGGCGTCCAGTCACCTGTGGACGCGGCAAAGCGGCCGCATCTCCCCGCGCGTCCCTCTTTGTGCGGTCGCCAAAATAAGTTTGTCTTCTGCCGGGAGTCTTGTCTCCGTCTCGACCTCCCCGTCCAGAGCGGCTATGCGTCAAACTTTTCGGGGACTTTGGTGGCACCGCTGCGTTTTTGTCTCCCGGGCGAGCAGAGTCCTCCCGGCTGGACATTAGATCTGCCGGGAATTAGTCGCAGGATTCACGGGGTGTGATTTCTATTCTTCCAACTTTGATTACGGGCGCAAATGTTTGAGCGCCGCTGAACTATTTACCAAACGAACCGCATCCAGCACCAGTTACTGGGCGCTTTGGTATTTTGCTTTTTTTTTTTTCCTGAGAAGGACAAGAAGGCATTTTCGCACAAGAGCGACTTGTGTCACAAACACTGCAAGTAGCGCTGCGGGGGAAACCCCGGGACGTTTCGCAAACGGCGTATCCGGAAAAGATGCTCCCTGTTCGGATGCAGCGCGGGGAAGGGATCGGTCCTCTGGTTCTTCTCCTCTTGGTCGGGGGATTAGTGTCCGGCACTGGTGAGTTTGCTATTGAAAGATCAGTGTGTTATCGTTTTTGAAATACTGAGTGTTTATTCAATGATGATCGTGGTGAAATACTGTGGACTATACATGGCATTCGTTGCACAAGATTGACCAAAAATGTGCGCGCACACACGCACAACTTGCACACGCACAATCTGTGTCCAATGCCGAAAGTACCTTTACGGCCTGATTTAAGATACAGTGTGTGTGTGGGGGGGTCTTGCGGTAGACCGGAGCTCACAGCTCTCTTTTGTACTTGGAGTTGAAGAATCTAACTCCCCCGGTGCGCAGGGAGTAATTAAGGTTGTGCTACATGTCTTCTCGGCCCCCACAGAAATAAACAGAAAATCATTGTGAAAAGTAAGACGTAGCACGAGAAGTTTTTCAGGGAAAGATGTCATTTTATTTATTTTTTTTATTTCCCCATTGCATCGTCTGAAAATGTACACTCACTGTTTTTTAAGCTTGGGACTACATGTGTCTGAAATACTGGATTCACCCATTGACCATGAACCGTTGATACTTTTTTAAAGCATTTATTACAAGAAGACAGTATTTCTGTCCGAGCGGGCTTTGATCAGGGAACACAGACTTCAATCTGGGGATTGCTCAGAGTTAATGACCTCAAAGGCTGCAGCCGCTCTCATGGAGATGAAATCATTTGGTACGAAGGGCAGGTCACTGTGAGCTGAAGTGGCAGGACCTGGACACCAAGGTGACTCTGCTCATCGCGCTGGAGGAATGATTTCACTCGTTGTGGCCGTGTGGTAGGCGAAGCGTGGATTTTCCATCCCCTCGCTTTGTCGGGCAGAATTGAAATCTGAGGGTTCGTTGGATTGTGGATTAAAACAAAAGGACAATCCGGTCAACAATGAGTGCAGAACTCGCGCAGGCCTTGCTAAAAGGCCTCTGTAACAGATAAACCTGACTCTCTCGGGAGGGAGACCATCTTTTCTCTACATGACAACAGTAATCGCTTACTTTTGGAAGACACACTGACTGTCTGAGGTCCTTGGTCATTTCTTTGTATGGCAATGAGCCGTACCTCCCAAGGTCCTCGTTTGTGTAATATTCCCTGGGCAGGCGGAGCAGAAAAGCAGCTTATGTTTATTAAAAATCTAGAACGTTTGGAAATCCTCACAATGAAGAGTTGGGGATTGCAGCGAGGTCCCGTTATGGGAGCAGAGCCTGGGAGGAGGGGGACAACAACCGGGGACAATCGCTCAGTGTCCCCCAGGAAAGTTTCTGTCTGGAAGAGAGGGAGGCAGAGATAAATATAGGGAATGCATGATTGGACGGACAGATAGCGTTTATCTTCACTCCCTCTGTGTGTGTGTGTACCTTTGCTCCGTCGCCCCCCCCCCATCTCTCAGATCCCTCCTGTCTCGGTCTCCGCCTGCATTGTGGATCTGCTGAGCTCACGTTTCTGCTTTGGTGCTCCTCTTTCTGTGTTGACATACGCGTTAATTACCCAGACTGCCAGGAACACTCGTCTGGAGTAACTTCCCTTCTGTCCGCGCTCCTTTCTTTGTGTGCATCATTATTAATGACTTTATCAGAATCACAAAAAAAAACCGACATACGGGAAGCGTGTTTACGCGCTGCTTTTTGACGTCAGGATTAAACGAAGACGACGAGGTTCCCACTAAAGTCCCGGAGGGGCGGAGTGCGGAACGGGAGACAAGTGTCCAGACTGGGAGGTGCAGACAGAAGGAGAGCGAGGCCGGAGGTGGATGTTCAGTGTTGGACGAATGGCGGCCTGTTTGTGTTGGAATCCTCTTGCCTTTTGATAACAGCGCATTAGCTGTAAGAATACTTTAAAGTATTGTATGTGAGCAAATGAAAGGCTGCTAGAATATTTGCCGCCCTTCCCCCCTGTTTTGGTCAAACAAATTCTGTAGTTTTCGGATGAATTTTTGATGCATCAAAACAAAGGAATGCGACAACAAAGCTCGAACAGACACCGAAGAGATTTGGTTTCAAAGACGCTCAACAGATTGAAATGTCAGATTAGATTAAAGTGTCTCTGAAACATGTAGTCATAACAAAAGTGCTGCAGGCTGTTGCATCTGGACAGGTGGTGGGGCGCTGTTATAAATAAGTAGACCCCTCGGACTGCTTCCTGCAGGCAGGTCCCACCGGCGGACTGGGACGGGCCACATTCTGTCATTGTGTGCATTAATTTTATGGTCGCCGGGCGGCAGGGGAGGGGATCGCTGGCCAGCCGCTGCCCTCTGTTGCTGTATTATTCATACGTGCAAAGTGGTCTTTGTTAATATTTAAAATGTACTCATGATGCTCAAAATTTATGACATCAGAGATAGCGAAGAAGAAAGAAGAAGGTGGGGAACAGCTGCTGACCCGGATGGCTGCAGGGGTCAACAACGAAGGCTTTTAGGGCACCAATAGGCCTTTTGTAGATGATATAGAAGACAGTTTGAGCAAAGCCGAAGGCTGTTGCAGAGGATGCATGTGAGAACCAAACAAGGAGAAGGGTTACGCAGGGTAGCGTTATCCGTCTGAAAGTCCAGAGGAAAAACAGACAGAGGAGATTGAAGAGAGACACTTTGAGATGGATTGATTTGAGGGCATGGCTTTTAAATATCCGTTATGAGAAAAGAGCAGAGACGAAACCTCCGTTGCAGTGGCATTCAAGCGTCATTAACCCTCTGGCATGGGCCGGAGAATCAGGTGCGGTGTGGGTGGGAAGATATAAGTGGAACAGAAGGAGAGGAAGGCAAGGTGATGCGCAGCAGAACCAGTTTGAGGCAAAGCAGCAGAAGAAGAAGAGTGACGGATACGGTCGAGGAGGGAGGAAAGTGAAAAAGAGACACACAAATCCACTTGGGGGATGTTTTTATTAAGGCTCTTATCGATGGAGAGAGCTCACAGTATTAAGAGAAGACATGTTTAATGCTTTGCCAATACTCTCTGCATGTTAGACCGGACCATAAATCCGCAGCAAACAGCGAGGGCTCTGTAGGAGTCAAAATACTGAGGTAAATGGAAGAAGGAGCTGACTGTAAAGAATGTTCTGCTGCCAATTCCTGTTTCCAAAGATCCATGCGGAGATTGGCAGACTTGAGATGAATACCATTCTAGTCACAGGCCATTATTTTCATTTTCAATGACAATATGATCTTAAAGTATTTAGAATCTTGGCTAATAATGACCTAATCAATATTGCCGAGCCAGCCAATTAATTAATTAATTAACTGTATATAATTTGAAAGGTGTACGGATCATCAAGCGAAGCTGTTCACTGTGAAGCTGTGAAAAGTAATAAGGAGGCGGGAAGGTTTTCAATAAAGGTCACAAAATGTAAAAACCTCTTTTGAGTGAGGTGTTCATTTCAAGGTCAGATAAAAAAAAATGTAATTTCAGCATTTTTTGGATTCTTTTAATTATTGGGCAGCCACATATTTTTTGAATAAAACACCAGATTTTGGGCCCGGACCTTCAAATAGCCTCAACAAGTTGGGGCTTACTTGAGAAGAGGGGGGATGGATGGTTGTGCCGGGGGTGGAGGGAGGAGAGTTTCGGTGGCAGATGGGGGCTAAGTTTGCTGCAGGGCCGGTAGAACAGGGTACCCCCTGCCCTTCCATCTTGCCCTGTGGGGGAGATGGGTGGGGCAGACAGGGAAACAGGAAGAAAACCTCTGTGGGGTTCCATTGTGCTTTAGATGAATAGGAGACCACAGAGCTTTTTCTGCCCCTTTTGTGTGTGCTAAAGGGGAGGGGGGGGGGGGGGTAGCAACCGAGCAGACACACGCACACCTACACACACACACACACACACAAACACACACACATTCATACATTCATGCTCGTTCACTTTAACTTCAACAGGGTCTACACTTGCATGTTTGTGATTCTTCAGATGTGTGTTACTGTTGCATGATTCATTCATGGGTTAAGATGACACGTGTGCCTGTTGAAGCCTAAAGATCTCAGGATCTACCATTGATATGCTAACACAAGCTCTGTGACACCTGACATCAGCAGACCACCACCCACCCAGGGACCCACACCCACACACCCGCATATGCAAAACGGAGCCACATCCTCTAATGAAGAGGTAGCATTTATTTGTGTAATGGTGGGAAAACCTGCTGGGTGACTTGGGAGGAGCGAGAGAGTGAGTGCAGGAATTTTCATTTAACATCTCAGCAGCACTCTGGGCATCGTGACCAACAGGATCAGGATTCACCATGGGGGGTCTCGCCAGATCCTGAGCAACCTCCTTAGCCTAAGATAGATGCACACACACACCGGACTTGGAGAAATCGGTTTCGCTGAGGTCCATTGACCAGAAGCAGTGTCAGCACTTGATGGTGCTGTGCTCTATGTGTGTCCCGCTCTAAAGAAGGAGAGTTTTTTCAGACCGTGTAGATCCCACTCATCTCCTTAGCAGAGGCTTTTTTTGTCTTTCAAAGGCAGTTGAGCCAATCCACTCAGAGCTTAGACCACAGACAATCTGTTAATGCTCGTGTTTGCGACTGTTTGTATCAGAGCGTGTCACGTGGGCTCAGCTAACTGGAGGAAAAGTCCGCTTAAAGTGTGTCAAATGCATTGGCAATGGCAGACTTTTACCAATGTGGCATACAAAGCTACATTTCCCCACATCCACATTAATAGATTACCTTCACATGTCCCCATTTTCCCCTCCCCTACCTTCAGTCAAGTTGATAGTCTCATCAGGTGTATTTATAGCTTGATAGTCTCACATATACCAACCTCTGTCATCCATATCTCGCTCACTCCATCATTTGTTCCTCCCTGCCAGCTCTGAGGCGGAGTTTGGGAATCGCTCTTTAGAAGGCACTGTGAAGAGTCCCATTTATATGAGTGTAACACTTATTAGGGTCCCATCTGCCCGCAGGGTACTTATGGATATGGGGCTGGAGGGGGGGTTGGATTGTTGTGGGTAGGTAAAAGTCAGTGGGGGGCAAAAGGAGCTTGGTCATGCCTGTGTTGTAAGTGGATGTGGGTGCC